GTTATATTTATCAACTTAATGATTCAAAAAGAATGCCATGAAATACATGAAAAATTCAAAAAAGAAAATCCTTATTGATCTGCAGACTTCTCTATATTTATTGCGTTTTTCTATAAATATATTCTCTGTTAGTTTCGCTAAACGTTTCTTCTCAACAAGCTGTATTGTTTTTGCAGAAATCCATGATTTCCTAGATGATTTTATTGTAGGAATAACTATATTCTCTGATTCTCGGATAGCTTTTAGTATTTTTTTGGAGGGCTCTTCAATACTACTATCTGATTGAAATTTTTCGATTTTTTCTTTTAATAAATAGATGTAGAGTACCTTAGTAGTAATATTGTTCAACTGGTTTGTGTTTAATATGCAGTCTGATTTCTCTTATGGCGTATCTTCTTCAGGTGTGATTTAATATTGCATAATACCAGTGAATATTCTGAACCAATATCTGCATTTTGGGAATGTTCTGCAGTTAATTACAGAAGATTTCCATCTATTGCCGAACTAAGATTAAATTAATTATATTCTTATGAACTCCGTCAGGTGATTCCCAAGTCCATTTTCGATCTGCTTTATGTTGGAATCTCGTATTAGAGATGAATAATCTATGTTCTGTTGCATACTCTATGAGACGTTCTCCACAATCATTCCTGATCTAAAACCGTATCTACCCATCACAGACTTCATCCAGTGTTATCGTTGCCAACTTTCGCATTGCAATCACCAAACATAAGAATAAGATATTTCATAGGAACCTTAGCTAGTGTATTCTCGATGCAATTGTAGAACGCCTCGATTTCCTCATCTGAAGATGCAGAAGTTGGTACGCATACATGGATTGCCGTGATTTTAAATGGAGCAACGTTAAATCTTCCTGTGATAACTCGCGGACTAACTGGATTATGTCCAATTACAACGCTTTTAGCCTTCTTACTTGATAGAAACCCTACTCTATTTGCATGAATATTTTCCTCCCCTGACCATATAACACCTCCAGTAGCTGTTTCTCCTTTTCCTGTCCATCTGATTTGGGTGTGGGTGTCGATAAAAGGAGCACCTACACCCACCCCCACACCCGCACTCTCTTATCCGTAAATTTTCGATTAAGCAAATAGTATTAAACGTCAATACTTTTCATTAATACAAAATCGTCAACAATTTCTCATTTGATTCAAATTGGCTTCATTTAACACGTTCTAGAACTTTAGGTTTGGTGGATCTCTTCAGTCTAAAAAATACTTTCACGAAAATTTGGTTTGGTGTAATTGAGATATGAGCATGCGACAGCCTTAAAATTTTGTCCAAGATGTTAAATCAGTCAAATTAAAACTGTACAGTTTGATAGACTAATCCATGTTCTATTCAATCATATAAAAAAAGAAGAAACTTTTGAAATTTTGCAGAACAACAGTAAACTGGACAAAATTAGTAAAAATAAGTGAATTATACTGTATACTGACGTAATATTATGCATCGAAATTGTTTATATAGGACACAATCAACATTGTAGAGTCAATTTCACCAGAGGATTGTGACCAGTTGGATATAAAGCCAAACATGAATGTCTAATAGGAAATGTTAACTTATTTTTTTCGATTCAGAATATGGAATTCTCTTTTTTGAAACGTTACAAAATTATCAAAAAAGCAAGAGCAGTACATGAAATTGATTGAATATTCATGAGAAGTTCAAGCGAAAAAGCCATTAACATAATATATAAATAGCACTGTATTTCCCTACACGTAAGCTGTTGCTCATTTACAACACGAACAGTTTTTGAAGTTCGAGTTGAAGTTGAAGTCGAAGTTATAAAGTTTGATTTGTAGTTTCAAACATTTGCATGTGATCAGTAAGAAAACGAATTTCTTATTGAACATGAATATTACTGCCATCAACATACAGTACAAATTATAGAAACTGTCTCAAAACGATTGTGAATGTTAGAGTCCTTTCTTCACCCATACTCACTCCCCCATATTTTCTGTTTAACTTTCCACGAAATCATATTAGGCATTCAATTGTAATTAGAAAAATATGGTTCAGAATCGTTAGTCTTCATCAGAACTGTGAGAAAATATAATACAAGTTATTTAGAATAATGTCATTCAAAATTTCTCCAAAGCATATTCTTAATTGTACAATGCTGTAAATTTTCTATTTATAGTCATCGTGAGATCTACAAACCTAATGACAGCAAACGCCTTAATGGAAAACTTGAATATATGTTACACAAAGTGTATTTACCTTCTATTACTACCAAATGGACTATTTATACGAAGAAAATAATATATTTCCATTAACTTAGAAGCTTATGTGTTCTATCGTTATGAGGTTACTGAAAATCATGTTAGAAACATTGCACTGATACTTGTTTTGATAATGCTTGTCAAACTTATCTTTAGTAATAAATTCGATTTGAACAATGAAATGTGTACCGACTGTTCAATTGCTCATGAAGAGTCACTCAACAGATAGAAGTGTGATCATTTTTATTAGAAGTAACTTCCGAATTTAATACCAATCTAGATATGTCTTTGCTATATTTTCATCGAACGAGTCCTAATATATACAACTGTTTAATTATACTCAAATGTTTTGCTACAATGAATGTTTTTATCTGCAAGTCTGTGTGACGTTTCATCAATAATAGGCGTTATATAGTTTTTTTTTCAGAATCACAGCTATTTAGTATGGATTCCTCTTTCTAAGATTTAGAACCTTTTTCTTCATGCTTTAATTCCTTATTATCATCTGAATTATAAAATATATATACAACAAATAGCATCAGCTCAATGAAAATAAATATTTGTCGTATTCAGATTGTTAGAGGACTATATCTATCGTCTCAAATATCATATATCATTCTTTTCCTACATTTTTTTTGTCTTTATTTCTATCAATCGATGGGTATATAATATCGATTGACTCTTAAAAGAAAGTTGATGTTTTGTCATTGTTGTTCTTGTTTTTAGCTCAGTTTTTTTTGTATCTTTGCATTGTTTTTTATTTCTTAAAAACAAAAGTTTGAACATTAGATGCTAACAGAAATAAATTAGAGAAAGAAAAAAAGGGCGATATTATCACTCTTGTTACAGTAAATAGCCAATAAGGTGAAAATTCCAATTTTTGAAGTGCAATGGGTGTTTTTTAATTGAAATAATTATTAAACCACTTTTGTGCACAAATGTGACCGAGAGGAATAGAAAAACGAATAAAAAAACTGTAGGAAAAATCCGACTAAAACTCGCTATTTTCGTACAAAAAATATGAAAACTTGATAGTTGTAAGCAGAAAATAACGATTGTGAGAAATGAAATTAAGGAGAACAATTTTCTTGTGGTCAACTTCTACATAAAACGATCTGTATTTAAAACTGACACGTTTTTATAGCCAGTTCCATTTTATTTTTGTACGGTTAACACCAATAGCTCCAATGACTTTTTTGAAAGTAGCTTTAGATAACGCAAGGTCACCATAATGACATTCACGGCATTTATCTACAATTTTCACTGCAACAGATCCATTTGGACCGTGTACATGGGCAAGCTTATTACATAAGCTATTTTTATGTCGAGTACCATTTGGAGAAGGGGGATCGAATTGTACTGCATTCAGTGCAGCGATATATTCATTATCATTGTGCATTGTTCCACATACTGTGTAGCCAACGCTAACACTATAATGTGTCCCTTCTCCAATAAAACTGTCATCTAAACGAAAAACAATAACTGGAAACAATATTGATAATTTAGAAAAGTCATTTTTGCTTTTTTCTGTTTTACAGATCTATTTCTGTCTCGAACAAGCATAACTTCTATGGCTAGAGATTGAGAAGCAATTGGCTACCTTTTTCTCTCCTTCTTTCATCAACCTAAAGGGTCTACACTACTTTCTGATAAGTAGAAAGAGTATGGTTGTCGCTTAGCTTATCTGTATGGCTAGATTTTATCAACATTGATCGGGTCCTTCCATGAGTTCTTATTGGAATGTCGTAGATCCATTCAAAAACATCCTATTAAAAATGAGCCATATAAGTAAGAGAATGCTAATGAAACAAAACGATGAATCAAGACGATCTTTTCTTCTACTCTCATATATATAAAACTGCAATTTTCATCAATCAAGGATGTAAAGTGAAAAATGTTCTTGCAGATAGTACTCGCCCTACGATATTGTGATATGCTAGTCAGTATCTGTAAATATAATTGGAATATTTCTCCAGCAGTTTAAGCTTTAATTCGACTTTATTTATGATATGAATATTCAACAAATAAAAAGGTCTATTAGTTACGAGTATTGAAGTCTATAACGAGAAAGGTGAGTCTCTCTTGCCTAACAGATCGTGACAGAAATGTCGATGCATTCCATAATCTTATCACGGACTGTGTCACCCATTTCGACATGTCTGCCACGATTTGTGATGCTAAAAGAAAATTTCCCTGTGATGATCTTTGTCTTCAATCAGCTGAGATAGATACACCAAGGTTTCTCCATTATATATCAGAGTGCTCAAGATTTGTTTCATAAATGTCGCATCCTAAGTGACTCATGCTTGAGGTGTATTGACAAATATTAGTTATTTATTTCTTACAAAAAATACGTCATATTCAAAGAATATTTCTCACTAGATATCGGTCGTTGACTTTGCAAACGATCTTCTTTTTGCTTCTGGCCAACTGAGATTGAAGGCGCGTTTCCACAAATTTTCGGACCTTTTCCACAATAACCCCATTTCGAGCGACACATGCCATGTGGACATCCCTTCCCTGCATGCTTTCCTGAAAAACAAGCAAAGGTGATCTATCAACAAAACAGGTTGTCAATGTGAATATTTTAATTTACGAATTGGCTCTAGCTTTGTAGTGGGACGTGGGCCAACAGAATTTCCTTTGCAGTACTCCGGACCAGTTCCACAATAACCCCAGTTTGAACGACACATACCAGGTGGACACTCGTTACCCAGAAAAAAAATAAAAGTGACCTATCAACAAAACAAGATGTTAATGTGAACATTTAAAATTACTAGTTGGCTGTGGTTTTGCAGTGAAATTTGAGGAATCATGTTTTGCTTCGCAATATTCCGGACCTGTACCACAATAACCCCATTTAGAACGACACATGCCAGGTGGACATTCTTCACCTTGATTTTTTTCTGAAAAAAAGTAAGATTGACCTACCCAAAAAACAAGATGTTAATGTGCGCATTTTATATTACGAGTTGACTGTGGCTTTGCAACGAAATTTGAGGAATCATGACTTCCTTCGCAATATTCCGGGCCTGTTCCACAATAACCCCATTTTGAACGACACATACCAGGTGGACACTCCTTTCCTAGAAAAAAAGTAAAATTGACCTATCAACAAACACAAGATGTTGTTGTAAGTGTTTTAAATTACGAGTTGTCTGTAGCTTTGCAGTGGGATTCGATGAATCATGTTTTTCTTCACAATATTCCGGACCTATACCACAAAATCCCCATTTTGATCGACACATGCCAGGCGGACATTCTTCACCTTGATTTTGTTGTTCTACAAAGTAAAACTGATGTAACTACAGAATAAAATGAACGTGTACAGATTTCGTGAATTCTGCAATCTGGAGGAGGAACTCGAAGAGCTCTTAACATGCTTGGAACTCCATGAACCTGCAAAACTCTAAGAACCTACGACACTAGAAATAGCTCCGGATTGCTTGGAACTCTTGAATTGCAATGAACCATTAGAGTTGAAGGGTTTCTCAAAAAATACGGCGTGCTAGAGTCCTAACAAACCGACAGAGCTTTACAAATGTTACGTGCTACAAGAATTTTGAAAAATCATTAGACTTTAGAAACTGGTGTCTTAGGTCGAGAAATCGAACTACCAAAGTAGCCACTGAAGGGAACGAATACACACGCACACACTCACAGTCTATGAGTTCCAAGATTTCTTAGAGTTCATTGGTTTTTGAAATTCGGTGGCCTCCTTGAATTTCGTTTAGTCATGCTGGATAAATGCTTACTTTTTTAGGCAAACGTTTCAATCTTGAGTTCCTCGAGAATTCAGAATTCACGGGAATTGGATACTACTGAATGAGCATGGCAAGGGAATCGCTATCCAAATAGGCACCAATTCTTGTTAACAAGATGAGATGCTTGAATAGAATTTCAAGTTGTGAGGATCATGGCATATTTCCATTCTGGACAAAGTCTTTTCTTCAGAAATACCTGATTGTGGATCCGTATTGTCACAATATTCAGGACCTGTACCACAGAAGCCCCATTTTGAGCGACACATACCAGGTTCACATTCTTCTGACTGGCTTTTCCCTGAAATAAAGTAAAATTAATAACTGCTTAAAAAATATCACTATTTTTTCTAAGCATTATTTCTTACCATTCGCATTATATAGCAATAATAAAATAAGTACTAATAATGATAGAATAAAAAGTTGTATTGATGATAGATTCATATCTAGCTAAGTCAACGAAACGAAGAGAGACGAATATGCTTTATGACAATGTAACTAGTAATTTGGTATTATTTCTATCTTTAGCATGTGAAATTGTTCGTCCTTTTGCTTTCAATTATCGTTGTCTTATATTGAATAAATAGACCAGTAGAAGTAATGATAACGTTTGTGCCTATTTAGTTAACTGAAACAGCTGTTGTATGATATTTTTTGGTATATCAACTACTGGGTTATGTTGATATATTTATACAGAAAATGGTACTTCCCTTATCGGACATTTCTTAGAATAGAAATATCTATTATTTTCATCCTCCAATAGTTATTCTTATCAAAGGATCATCCCTGTTCGAAATTTCTCCACACTGATGATATTGCCGAGAGGAAAAGCAAAAGAAAAAAAAACAACTACTAAGCCTCGAATAAAAAGGAAAAAACTTCATACGACAAGTATCCCAGTCTTGCCGTCTCAATATATATGAAAAAAAAATACAACAACAGCAAGAGGAAAAAGAAGAAGAGAAGCGAAAGAATGAAGCAAAGAAAGAAAACAGTATTGCAAAGAACTGTATGCGCCGATAATTATATCACTTTGTCATGATATCTTCACTTTCTCTCGTACCGTCTTCTCTCTCTCCTATATCGTAAGCTCGTATTCTGTATGAGAGAGACAGACTTGGAAATATAGAATAGTTGAATAAACATCTTGTTAAATGGCAGAAACACACTGAACTTTTCATATCTCGTTACATCATGTATATCATGGTAAAGATAAATAGACTGCTATGTATATAAATGACTTCACTGGAAATTTGTTTTAAAAAAGAGCATTCTCTCTTTCTCTCTCGACAGATACTGTTTCTGATTATTTTTATATGCAACATTGATTTGATTTTAGTTTGCATGCTGATTATAAAAAATCCTACTAAATGAAGTCTTTCAAGAAAGGAAATTTCTTTGTATTCGAAGGCAAATCTTGACGTAGAGACTCGATAAATTCAAATCAATTCTTCTTTACGATTTTGAAAAGATCACTTGAAAAAAGTTAATTTTAGCAACAATTGTTGTTCTTCTGATTCTCTCGATGACAAAGACATGTTCAGCTATGTTATACTAATCGGTTATTGATTTTTCGTCTACTGTTCTTGTAATAAATGTTAAATATTTGGCTAGAGTGCAACGACGATCAATGAACTTTTGTATTTTGATCCGTAATAGAACAGTGCACAAAAGAAAAACGAGATGTTATAGAATTTTGTTACTGTAATTTCTCAATTTCAAAAATGAGATTGCATACAAGTTTGTTCAACTTCTGTCTGATTAGAGCCAATGTGACCGTAGTGTCATCAAAAAAATCTTTTCATGGAATCAATATGGGATTAAGATATGAAACATGATAAAGCTGCTTCAATTTAGAGCAGCATATCAAACTGGCTGTCATGAACAATGGCTGAAACTAAAAAAAGTACATGCTACAACAGAAAAAAACAGGTTCTTTGACTTTAGGTTTTCAAATATATTTAAAAGAATAATTTCAAATACAGATGCAACTATATTTTTCATATTATAAGGTTTTAGATTGATCAATTTAGAAAAATTCGTGGAGCCATTCAAAGATCGGACAAGTAAAAGTACAGCAAGTATAAGTGTGGTATTTGTACTTAAAAGTACTAAAAAAAGGAATTTTGAACTTTTACATCTTTTTCTTTTTTTAACATTGGTTGCTGAGTTATTTTGCGGATGTCTACTAATGTCTAAGCTGAAAGACATTATAGTATATTCTGATAAGGGTATGGATGCAGATTTCCACTTTACGCATACGCACATCCATACCCTTTAGACTTATGTTTATTTGAATGTTATCTTTTTATCAATGTTATGTTGTTTTCACATGTGACCTGATTCATGGACAATCTTCAAAGTATGAATATATTATGTTGTTAAGTTTCATTGAATTATGTTCCAGCTAAAAACAATGAAGGACTTGTTAGCTTATATATTTTGTGTGGTAGAGTAATAAATATTTTCTCTCAGATTTTGATGCTCAACAAATTAATATAATGATTCGCTTGCTCATAAAAATGTTTCGAACATCGTTTTCCTGATGTAGATGCTGAAAATATTCGTGTACATATTAGAATATGAATTAATGAAAATAAATACTCTGTCTACTTAAAAGAAACATATATATACTATGTTTTGTTAATGGAAATGAAAATGAGAATTTATTTTTAAGTCAGACAGAATCTTTTCATAGTTTGTCACCTGATCAAAAAACGAGATTTGTCTAACAATGGAAGATCATGTGCAGTAAGGTGAAGAGATTGATCATACTCGGATCAAAGAAATATATTTAGTCTATCATGTGCCCACATCACAATATTGCAGCAACATTTCTTTTTCTTTTTTCATCATGGTTGGATAGAGCAAGATGAGTTGTTATTGACAAGTATAAAGGTAATAGACACAAAATTCTGATTGTTATAAAATTGGTTTTTAATATGCGTGATATTGTTTTTTCTTATGCAACTCTTCTAGAGAGTGTGGGTGTGATTGTGATTAGATAAAGAGAGGACCCACATCGGCATCCACCCACACTCCAATGAAATGATTTGTTCTGTAAAAAAAAAGGATCGGTGAAAGTGAAACTTTTTTGGAGTGTAGTAGTGCTGATCAGATATGGTTTTTCGATTGTTCTTCTGAAGAGCTCGTTTTCTTGACTTATGTAGAGAATTGCACACGCTGTCTTTTGGAAAAAGTCCAAATCAAAGCATCAGAATCTGATAAAGATACTCAAAGAATACTGACTGAGTAATTTTTTTATAGAAGAGAAGTAAAAAATTACTTCGATAAAACTTTCTCATTATTTTTACCAATATGGCACTTTCTTACAGTTCATGCAAAATGAAGTGCCATGTCTATTGAACAATAGCTTAAAGGTTACTCTTCACATATATATATCCAATGGTTCTCTACTTTTGATTTTGACTATAGCAAAGATCAAAACTAGAAATAAAAACTGTTTCTTGAAGCAAAAAGACAACTGTGAAAAATGAATATAGAGGTAGTCCAATAAGTATCTGGACGCCTCCATGTTTTTTCGTATTTCTTGGCTTGCAGAGCAGAAACAAGACACAAACTTTTTCTTTTTTTCAGCCGTATATAGTCCTTATTTTGTGCAGCTTTTGACAGGCTTCCTAACAGTATATTCAGAAATTAAATTTGATAAAAAATTCTTTATGATCTTTTACTCGCACTGTGGCATTAACACATTCTGCACCATGGGTTCCACGGAGGAACCCACCATATTTTAACAAGAAACCAAATGAAAAAATACATTCCCTCATTTTTTCTCTGGTATTAAGTTAAACACAATGTATCATCCACTCTGTCTCGCTATCGTTTGAATTATTTATTGGATAACATGATGTTTCTCATTGAGACACCCACAATAAAATTTGTCACGATCAGAACAGAATGTTTTTATTTTTGCTGTTGCATTACTTGCTTCTCTTGATTGTTTTTGTCTGATTTTCCCGTAGCAACCAGCACAGCGTCTTCGGACATCGCGGTCGGATCCTTCCGCTTCTTCGAGCTTGTGATCAGCGAGTTTGCGCTTCGTTTAACATGTTGATTTTTGTCTCGGACCCAATTTCAGCTTCTCGACTGACATGCCAAATAGTAAACACCGGGCAATACTTTCGCGAAATTGCAGAACAGTTACTTCACCTGCAGCATAATCCTTCTTCTATATCAAATAGCTATTTACTATTGCTGTCCGAAAAGTCGGTTCAAATGCCACTTTTCAGTACCACTTTATGAATCGCCTGAGACATGTGTAGTATGCTGATAGCTGATCAGATAGATCACTAACTTGTCTCCCTTTGTTGTAATCTAGCACAACTGGTGGTTTCATAGTGTGTTCATTTTTACTCTTGGCTTTTCCGCTGTCTATCATAGTTGCTGAATGCGAAAGTCTTGTGAATATCATCAGAGAGACATGAATAAAGGAGAAGAGTTGGAAATTCCCTTCTCTTATCGTACGTGTACTATACATGGGCCATTCAAAAAGTATCTGGACTGGTGTTATTAAAAAACAATAAAAAGCAGTACTGTATTTGTCTGAGTGCCTGTGCATAGCTCGTACAGTCCTCTATCTACAGACATCATAAGCTCAGTTGAGTTACACACACATACAAAAATATCGAGATACATTTTAGACCACTGTCTATACACTGACTGAAAATCAAAAATCTTGAGCATCACACAGTGATAAAACTTCTTGCTCTGCAAAGCCATGCCTCATTTAATATTTATGAATATACAATGACAGTTTATAATGATTGATTATCTATCATTCACTACAGCTTCCAAATGAAATCGTTTTTGTGAATATGGATTATCAGAAATTGTTAATAATCTAAATCTGAATAGCATAATTGCTATAGATGTGAATAAAATAACTGTCAAAACTTTTAGACACCCGATGACCGAAGATAGGCGAATCGCATCTGGATAAATAACGGACACTATCAGCATTCAAAATTTACAGCGCATAGTATTTTATATGATCAATTGCATATGACTAAAGTCAGTTCACGAAAATATTACATTCTGTGAAGGACTATCTACCATACCTAGAATCATAATTAATAGTTAATTATTCATCTTTAGAACGATGAGTTCATTCATTTATCGTTGTATGTGATAGAGCAGTATCATGGTCAAGTGTCACCATGTATTCATAGACATTGGATGACAACTAGTCTTTCAAAGCATAAAATTGTGCTCCAATTTTTAATTTTTCGTCAGTGTATAAACAGTGGTCTAAAACGTATCTTTGTATTTTCGTATATATGTCTAATTTAACTGAGCTTATGATGTTTATAGATAGAGAACTGTACGAACTATGCACAGGCACTAATACAAATACAGTAGTGCTTTTTACTGGTTTTTAATAACACCAGTTCGGATACTTTTTTGAACGGCCCATGTATATAGGA